CTTCTGCCAAATACGCTTTGTTTTTGCGAACGAACACCGTCGTCCCCACGGGTCGCCGCGGATTGATCACGCCAGCCCCCAGAGTGTCCAAGACGGCCCCAGGACGGGACGGAAGACCATTTGAGGCCATGCTGGAAGAATGAGATCCCAACCACGCCCCCGAGGCCTCTGAAAAAAAATGGCACGCGTGCCGCCTCAAGATCGCCTGGAAGCGCTTGAGGGCACCTGTGAATTGGAGCCCTAGACCCTCCAAAGCGTATCCAGTTCAGAGCGTTCGAAGGGACCTGGGAAACTGCACCCAGTGCCTACGGCACGGTGGCGGAGTTATGCGACCGCAGGGCTGCGGAAGGTAGGGGCGAAGGACAAGTAGAGAGCGAAGCAGATAGGCAGCGCGTACAGTGGGGGCGCGCATCAAGAAACCATGCGCTTTTCGTCAGGGTATCCTGGGTTTCTTCGCTCCGCCCGCTGCGCGGTGACTTCCCCTCAGGCGCACCTCGCGCGCGGGTTTTTCATCGTTGGGTTTCTTGCGAGGGTTTCTTGCGGCAGCGCCCTCACTGTATGTGTGGCGAACCTAGAGAAGCGTGGTTGCTCACCGACGGCCCCCTGGAGATGGTCGCGGCTGGTCTGAGCACCCAGCGCCGCCTCCAGCGGCGCTTCTCGGGACGCCCGCGCTCCCTGGAGTTCGGGCGTGTCGAGGGAAGTTTGCGGTTGCTTGTGCATATTATGGGGCTCTGCTAGCGTGTGGTACGGGGGGTGACAGGGCTTTGTAATTGTCCTATTCTTGTTGAATCGCGCCTGAGATTATATATTCCATCTGCCTGTGACTGGCCAGTGTTCGCAGCAGGAAGCGCGAACACACGTAAAGAGAATGACGAGGAGAACAAAGGAGGAGCAGGGATGCAGAAGAGGAGGGGAAGAGGGAGGCGAGTAGGAGCAGGGACTTCGATCTCGCAGTGCGCTCCGCGAAAATGCAGGGCTGACAGGCGCAAAGCCGTCGCGATGACTGACTGCGTCGCCCGATGTCGCGCCCAGGTTCTGTCGCAACATCGCTCTCTAGAAGGATGGGTCCGGGAAAGAAAGGAAAGAGGTACAAGAAGGGAATCAGCAAAGGAAAAGCGGGGGCAGGGAATGAGGGGGAGAGATAAGGGCATGGAGGGCAGGGGGAAGGATGTCGAGATTCATGCGCAGCTGAAGCCCGCACCCCTCTCACACCTGACTTCCAGGGAGGCGAGATGAGCGGGTGCGTCTTTCACGGGCAGGGAGCTGGTAGCAGGAGCATCCAAGGTGCCACCGACCCCAGGCTTCCAAGCTCCAAGTTCTGGAAGGGGGGTGTTTCAGTGGCGGCGATTCAGGGGCGCCTTTGTAATTCAAATGGATCGGCACAGAGGGGACCATGGTCCTGTTGCCAACTCCGTGTGGAAAAGGGGAGGGGACGGGAAAGGGGATTGGAAGCGCCTGGGGCGAGACTGGGGACGGGAAGCGCTTTTGTAGAGGGGCAATGAAGGAAAGACGACGAGACGCGGCAATGAACTCACTGAAGGCGAAACACCCGTCCGAACGCAAGGAAACACTGAAGGCACACATGGTTTCGCTGGAGGTCAAAATTATGCACCTTCCATGGAGAGGGTAGTGGGCGGCAGGGCGGTGCCCGAGAAAACAACCACTGTCAGCACCAATTTCGCGCGGGATTTTTCGGTCTGGACCGGTCCGTGCTCCGTATCTTCTTTTCTGGGTCCAGTTCTAAGCGTGCCTTGGGAGGTCAGAGATTGGCGCAGGCGACGGGGAATCTCAGGATTCTCGGGGTGAAGCTTGTTCTCCTTCGGCCACCCGAGCGCGCAGATTCGGGCGCTTTCCGTTTTGGGCGCCACCTGTTCGTTCTTCGCAGCAGTGCCATGGCAGACGCGGCCTTCGCGACTGGCCCTGTCGCGGCCCTAGAGAAGAAGGCCGGCGACACCAACGGAGGACCTCACGGGCCAAAGTTTGCAGGCCGACGGCCGCATGGCAGTGCTGGGGGTCGAGCAGCCGGGTTTGGATGCCAAGGCGGCATCAGTTGAGAAGAACTTTCCAGATGCAATTTCGACGACGGGCCCCCGTGGCACCCTGCAAGAACGACTTCGCATTGTTGGAACAATCGCTTCTGGCGGTGGAGTTCAAGATTCTTGTCGTCTTTGGGTTTCTGGCCATTTCCGTGCTGTACTTGGTCGCACTGGCCAACAGACGTGGCAGCAGGCGCAGCTGTCCGTTCCATCGCACTTGCTAGTCAACACGACAGCCAAGTTCGACAATACCAGCCAAAGTTCTTCAACCACTTCGCCAGGGAAGAGCTGACCAAGGAGTGCAAGACCAGGTTCTTGCCGCAGGATCTGAGTTGGCATGATGCCCGTCCTCTCCGCTTTCACGCAGACCATCGGCAGCGCTTCATGTCGCGGTGGCGGACGCCTGTGGCACAGCACCTGAAAACAGGAGCAGCACTTTCGACATCACCCTCAATCTTTGCGCCAATGGTTTCCGCGACGAGTTCCCCATCCGCGCGCCATCGGACCACCTCCCCTGGGCCACGGGCGAGATCGACACGTTCGGGCGTCTCCAGCTCAAGGCGAATGATGCGCATCTGCGCTTCTGGAGAATCACCAAGGAGACCATGCAGCAGCGGATCGATTCCTGTCGGCCGTGGCAAACTACGCGACCAGCTACTTGGACACTGTCGCCAGCGGCCTCCGGGGCGCATGCCTTGACTTCGCGTGCCAGGTCGAAGTCATCACGTTCTAGAACCGCGTTCTCTTCATCGGAACCTTCGCTTACCACGCCTGATTCTGCGCTGGCTGATGGCCTAGTGGCCAAGTGCGCCAACAGCTTTCCCCCCCCTCCCCCTGGCTTGATGTTGTTTGATCGCATGCCCGTGGGTTCTTCAGTGCAGGTCGCGCCTGTCGCCATGGCCAATGCTGCTGCCCGACGCCACATATTCCGCGGACTGCGAAGGACAGACCCATGGGGCCTGCGCTGATCTTTCAATGCTCCACATCGGCGATGGTGTCTCCAGTGTCGGAGGCATGGACACTCTGTGCGCGCGCGGGCGGTCTCGTCGAGGCCGCGCTAGCTGACCTTGCCCGCTGGTTCCGCTCGGCCAGTCGCCGTGTGATTCAGGAAGGTGGCGCGCTCATGAGTGTTCTGATTAAGGGCCGCGTAATCTTGCAGCCACGAACGTCCGAGCTTCGAATCCGCGCGAGCCCCTGCGGGCTTCTTATGGTGATCCTTACGGTCCCTTAGCGTCGCCGCCAGCCACAGCGTTTCTCGGCCAAGCTTGCGCGCGCGTGTGCGTGGGCGTGTGCGCGTGTGCGCGTGTGTGTGTGTGTGTGTGTGTGTGTGTGTGCGCGTGTGCGCGTGTGCGCGTGTGTGTGTGTGTGTGTGTGTGTGTGTGTGCGTGTGTGTGTGTGTGTGTGTGTGCGTGTGTGTGTGTGTGTGTGTGTGTGTCTGTGTCTGTGTGTGTGTGTGTGTGCGCGCCCCTCTGCTACACCACGCTGAACCGTCCAGTGGGCCGCCCAGCGTTGTTACCCGGCGTCTGCACCTTTCGGTGCTCCCCGCCGCCGCCCTTCGCGACGTACCTCCCGTGTGGGACGCGCGTCGCTCACTCACTGTCCCCTGCACCACTTCGGTGCTTCTCCGACGAATCACACTGGACCTCCCAGTGGGTCGCCCCTGCGTTGCTACCCGGCTTCCGCACCTCTCGCTGCTCCCATCTTTCTGCGGCGGCCCCGTGCCGCCTCCACCGTTGCCACTTCCAGTTGCCCCGCGCTTCCTCGCCCGCGCTGCTGTTCCGCCCCGCCGCCTGCGGGCGCCTGGGAAGCTTTGCCCGCTGCCTCCTGCTCCACCTCTCCCCGCCCCCCGGCCACCTGGCCTCGGGCGGTCACGCCGCAGTTTTCTTGTCTCTGCCAGCCATCTGGCCGCTGCTCCCGCCCCGCACGGGTCAGTGCTGCGCCTTCTCTTCGGTGCGCCGCGGTACGTCGTTCGCGGTGTTCCACTGTGCTCCCCGCCAGCCCCAGCCGCTGGCTGCCGCTCCCCGCCACCCTTGCCACAGTGGTTCGCCACGGCCGCTCACCTCGCTCTGGCCCTGTGCGCCTGGCTGCTGGTGCCCCCCCTGGCTGCTCATCGTCGAACTCTTCGGCGTCTGAGCGTCTCTTCTTCCTCTCGGCCGTTCCCCCTTCCCTCTTTGCTCGCAGGCCAATTCGCTAGTTAGTGCCCCTATATATCTTCTCGCTGGAGCGGCGGAGTTCGCCATTTCGCCGCTGACGTAAAAAGTGTGTGTTTGTGTGTTTGTGTATATGTGTGTGTGTGTTTGTGTTTGTGTTTGAGGAGGTGTTCGTGTGTGTGTGTGTGTACGTATGTGTGTGTCTGTGTCTCTATGTATCAGTGTCTCTATTTCTGTGTGTCTCTGTGTCTCTGTGCCTGTGTGTCTCTGTGTCTCTGCGTCTCTGTGTCTGTGTGTCTGTGTGTCTCTGCGTCTCTGTGTCTCTGTGTTTCTGTCTGTCTGTGTGTCTGTGTGTCTGTGCGTGCGTGCGTGCGTGCATGTGCATGTGCTTGCATGTGCGTGCATGTGCGTGCATGTGCGCTCGTGTCTGCGCGCGCGGGGGGCGGGCGCGTCGGGGCAGGGGGGGGGGCGGGGGCGGCATGGCGGCGTCCTGACGGGGGCGGGCGGCCGCATGGGGATGATCGGTTGTTTAGCTGCCCAAGCAGATGCGCGATGCTTGGATTGAATTATTCCAGACAGGTTGCCCAAGAGGGAGCCTCGAGACTGCAGCGCAGCGCGCGCGCCGAGATTAAGCCGCGCGCGCCCTGCGCTCCCTGATGCAGTCGCCGCCGACCTCGCGATCCGCGCGGCGTCAGTGACAGGCGAGCTCTGCCGTTCTCGAACGTCTGATCCCGCCCCGGTGCTCGAGCAGATGGCAGCGCTGCGGCCACCGCCTGGCGACGCCTGGCGACCGGGGTGGCCCAGCAGGAGCAAATCAAGTCACGAGGTGTTTGAGAGAGAGCTGGCGGCCCAACGGCACATGTCCGTCGCCCTCGACGCCACTTCTGCCACCCCGCAAGTCAAACATGGCATGCGCTGAGTCTTCTCTCGCGTCCGACGCCCCCTGGCCAGTCGCGTTGCCGCTGCTCTGACGGGGCAGCATCGCGGGCGCATGGTCGCCCTTGGAGGCTCCAGATCCGAGCAGGAGCGCGCGGCCTTTGCAGCGCGCGCTTCCCGCTTGCGAAGAAAGTTCCCGAGGCGCGCTTACCGAGCAGCTGCCAGGGCTAAGGGGGCACCGCTGTAGAAACATCCGCCGGCGAATTGGCGGCGGACTGGGATGCTCGTCTCGGGGGCCCCTGCCGTCCAGTCGCGCCTACCTGAAATTCTCGCTCGTGCGAAAGCTGTTCTGGAGGGCTGGCGCGGGCCCTGACTCGGAGATCTCGTGGGAGCTCGAGTATTCGATCCTGTCGCACTCGATACAGTCCACACATGTGCGGGCGCGTCGGAGATGCGCGACGTGTCTTTTGGGCGAGCTACTCGCGGTAGTCCTGCCGAAAAGGGGTCGGGGGGGGGCGGGCCAGAGAAATGGTTCGCGATTGCTCACGCATCCGCCCACTGTCGATGTCGAACCCGGATGCAAGGATACGTCCGGGCGTGTGTTGCCGTTCGTTTAATGCGCATTCCAGTTCTGTTGTTGCGCCGCTGCAGAAATCCTCGAAAGGGAAGCAGATGCTTGCGAACGCTGCCGACGCAGAGAATCGGAGTTTCCAGCAGCACCGTCTTAGCCATGGCAACATTGCCATCCTCTACGTGGATTTTTGCCGTTGCCTCCCACTCGTTGCAGCACGAGCTGGCGATCGCCAGGCTAGCTGCCATGGGGTGGCAGCTGTTTCGGTTCGATTTCGACAGTACGCTTTACCAGAACAGTCGTGGGGTGGCGTTCATGGTGGGGGAAGGCTTGGGGGCTTTGCATTCCGTCGTGAGATGAGACAGAGGGGCCCACGTTCGTTGGCCTTGTTTTGCTCATGTTTCGGCATCGTACCCCAATGAATTCAGCGCGCCCGCCAAATGCGCGCCCCCTTCTGCCTAGTCGACACCGACGACTGTCTTCCTGCCGCGGTGAATGTGCCCTGCCTGTCTCCTGCAGTTCGGCGCCGTTTACGCGCGTTGGAGGGCGCGATTGGGTTGGCTTTCAATTTCAGCAAGCGCTGCTGATCTCGCGCGGGAGGCAGAAGGGGGAAGGTCCAAGGAGAGCTGAACAAGGAGATCGGGGAGATGAAGCTCGCGGAAGCATGCTGCGCGTGCTGTACATCGGGCTGCACATCGGCCCCGAAGGGGCCATGGTGGCGTGGCAAGCGCTGCCCGCGAAGTCCGTTTCCAGATGCGCCCGTTTCCGCCAGCCTTCGCCCAGTAGTGGCATCGCCATTTCTACGTCGTTGTTCACGCGTCTGCTCCAGCGCGCGACGCGGGCCGAGCCCCTCGCTCCATTGGTCAAGAAAGATCACGGGCGCACGTTGCCGAGATGACCAGGTGGCCCGTGCAATGCGCTCGCAGATAGCATGCCCGCGCCGATGGAAAAAGTTCGGTGTCCCATAAGTCGCCTGGCATTACTGTTCTCTCGTTTGCTCGTCGCGTCTGGTTGGCGTACACGGGCCTTGGCAGTGGGGATCAGTGGGCGGAGATCGGGTACGTCGCCGATGGCAATTGCCGCCTCCCTTGCGAGAGCCATAGGTCCGAATAGGGGTGGTGCCGGGGATCCTTCCTGCCTGACCTGTTTCAAACTGCCCAGCTTATTCATGGCGTTCAGCGGTTATCTGAGTTGCAGCATCAAAGATTCCAACGGAATGGGCACGCCCGCCTCCATGCATTTCTTCTTCAAGGTCCGTCACCTTGTTTTCGGAAGCCTTTCGTACAGGCTGAAAAGTGGCCGCCCGAAGTTGATGGCTGTTACCGCCCCCAACGCATCCTTCGGAATTGATGGGACGCAGCAGCATCCCCTTCCTGTCTGGACATGAAATTATTCAGATATGTACTCGCGGTGTTTGTAGTGACTCTCGTGCTCATTCTCTTCACCGTGGCTGTAAATATGAGTGCGCTAACAGAGACATGATGGGTTCGACGCGACCAGGGGCTATAACGATCGTCGTCGCCACAAGTTCTGCCATCGCTTCCGCGTGATATGCGTTTGTCTTGGATGGGTTGGAAATTTCCGATGGCTCCTGTGAGGATACTGTGGGTTGCCACCACGATCCAGCTCAGTCCTCTCCCCCATCCTGTCTGGCTGCTGTGTGCCTGGATGTGTGGTCAGTTCTCACCTGCACACCACGCTGCCCGCCCTGGGCTCCGCGGCATTGCCTCGCAAGCGTTCGAGGCGCGTCTGCGCTTCCTGTAACGTCGGTAACAGGCTGTTGCAAAAGCGTTGGACGAGGTCAGGGCTGGGCCTAGATGGTTTGCTCCTGCGCGTCAGCCCACGTTGGCTGAGAGCTGTTTCAGCCTGTACCCAAGGACCGTCGAAGTCCCCAGCCTCACGAAAAGATGGGCAACCTTGGTTTTTGTTGTGCGCGGCGTCGTCCGCGCAACTCGCGCACACAGGACCGTACTTACTTACACACACACACACACACACACACACACATACACATACATACACACACACACACACACACACACACACACACACACACACACGCACACACACACACACACACACACACACACACGTGGACGGCATCCCGCTTGGCAGCATATCGGGGTATCTATGTGGCCAGCGGCCCATCCCGCCACCGTGCCTAGGTCGTGGCCCAACCGCCTTTGAGACCTGTCCTGTATGGGGGGGGAAGTCCTGGGGGGCGTCATGGGGGCCTTTGTAGGTGTTCTGGGGGCGGCTGACGGGCATCTCTGAGTCGTTGTGGTGTCCTCTTGCTGTGAGAGGTTCCGGCATCGTCCTCAGTACCGGGTTTTTTTTTGAACGCGGCGCCGTTTGCGCAAAACTTGGTGGGATTGTTTCCCGCTCCGACATTTGGGCGTGAGAAACATGGGCGACACGGCCAGTCGTTTTTGTTCACGACGCCAGGATACGTTGTTGTCCTCCCTTTCATGTTTTTCTGGCCCATGATGTGGGCCCCAAGCGGCCGTTCGAGACGGTTCGTGGTTCCCCAGGGGCATCTCGACGAGGTGCAGTTGATGCACGACATCATATAGTCCGAAAAGCCTTTTGGTTTCATATCGTCGTGTGTACGTTTCGAGAAATGTGGGGGGAGGGGGTCTTGGGGGTTCCTGAGAGGCCCGACCTCAGTGCAAAGGCTCTTTGGCCCTTCCCTCTAAGGTGTACCTTTGGGTCAAGGACGGCCCGACGTGGCTCCAAATAGGTCAAAAGGTTTCCGAGACGGACCAACCAGGTCCCATCATGGCTCAATGGGGGCCAAAGAAGGTTCCTTCGAGGGCTTCCAGAGGAAACAAACAACATGTGTTCTTCATAGTTGCTTTGAATACGTTAGTGGTCTCGCCTCATCGGGGCATCTGAGAGCGCGGGGGTGATCCAGAGGCTCCCCGAATCGGCACAGGAGCACCCGACGAGCGCCCCAAAAACGGTCCAAGACCGCCGAGGTTTCAGGAGCCCTTCCACAGAAGAAGGCTTTCACCGCAACCGGGATCCCCCAAGAGGCCCCCGAGAGGCTCAAGAAGAGCTCCAAGAGGACCCCGAGAGGGCCTCCAGGAGCAACGCCCATGTATTCTCCGTAAGTGTCCTTGTTTACTCTTGGCTGTGGAGTTGTTGTTGCCGCGCCTATTCCTGCTGCTGCAGCTGCTTGTATTCCCCATGTCCTCCTCCCTCCTGTCCCTTCCTCCTCCTTCCTCGGTCCTGCCTCCTTCATCCTCCAAGAGTTCCCGAAACGGGAAGAGGGAGGGGGCCGACGTCGATTCCGCTACTCCCACTCCTCCGACATACAGTTTTTTTGCTGTTGTTTCTCATGATCATCCCTCCTCAGTATGTCCCCCCTCCTCCGTTCCCCGTCTTCTGCCCACTCTCTTCTCCATTCCCTGAGCCTTTCCTTTCACCCCGCTGCTTTTCCCTCCCCTGCCTTCCTCGGTTTCAACCTCTCTCCTCTTCACCCGTTCCCTTTTCTCTCCCTCGTGCTCCTCAGCCTCTTCCTTCTCCGCCCTCTCGTTTCCTGCCCCCTTGTGCCTGCCTTAATGCCTACGCCCTCCTCCCTTGTGGACCGGCTGCAACGACGAATGTGCTGATGCAAAGGGCGAAAGGGCGAACGGCCCGCGTTCGCCGACGCAATACTCAACGCGTGCGCCGCTTCTGAATTCCGAGGAGTGCAGTGGTCAACTAGAAATTGAGCGCACGTGACGATTTGAGTGCACATCTTCAAGTACACACATGTATATTTATATATCGATGTTCTGTGTTATACATATGAGGATCTGTGATGTCCCGACGGACGAGGACGACCCAGGGGAGGGATGCCAAAGGGATGGGGACCCCCCGCCGCGTGCTACCGTGCGACGCAGCCGCCCGGGCGCGCCACCCACGCCACCCCGGGCTCGGGGGCCAGTGGCCCGATGAGCTCGAGGAGGAGGAGGAGGAGGGAAAAGATGGGAAAGAGAAGGAGGGATATCCGCTGGGGATATCCGCTGAGAAGGGGGAAAAGGGGGGAGGAGGAGAAGGAGGAGGAGGAGGAGGAGGGATATCCTAGATCAGGTACCTTCTTTCACGGCTGAGGCTTTGGCCTTAGAGGAAGCAGCGCTCGTAGTTTCGAGTATCGTCAGCACTCTGCTGTCAGTGCACTGGCTTAGGCTTCACGGGAGAAAGAAAAACAAACTTATCAATTTGTCCTGGGCCCCCCGAGGAGGTGAGTTTGGCGCCCATGCGAGGTTCCATGCAGGTGAGTGCAATGGTCGTAGACGCTGGTTTGCGGGGGCTACCCAAGGGCCCCCCCGCCAAAGGAGCGGAAAGATGGGAAGGAGGGAGAGTGGAGGAGGAGGAGGAGGAGGAGGAGGAGGAGGAGGAGGAGGAGGAGGAGGAGGAGGAGGAGGAGGAAGAGGGGAAGGTATACGGTGGGTGAGAAGGATTTGGATAATTTCGTTTTGCGGGGACCTCATTGCCCACATCCTCCGCCCTCCTTATCTCCTCCTTGCCTCCCTCCTCCTTACCTCCTCCTCCTCCTCCTCCTCCTCCTCCTCCTCCGCCTCCTCCTCCTCCTCCTTCTCACCACCTCCTCCTGCTCCTCCTCCTCCTCCTCCTCCTCCTCCTCCTCCTCCTCCCCCTCCTCCAGATCCTTGTCCTCCTCCTCCGCCTTGTTTACCTCGACCCTCTCCGCCCTCTCCCTCCACCTCCTCCTCCTCCTCCTCCTCCTCTTCCCTCCTCCTCCTCCTCCTCCTCCTCCTAGCCGCGCGGCCCAGGTGTTCTAGGGGCCGTGGCTGCACGGCACCCTGCGCACCCTCCGCCGTGTCGACCTGGAGGCGCGGCCTCCCTCGCCCGCTACCGTGCACTGCTTACTCACACACACACACACTCCACAGTGTTGTGCATCGATTACCGCAGGGGTTCGAGTGGCACCTGACCTCGTTGGGTGACCCCTTCGTGTTCCTGGAGGTAGGCTCGCCGTCTACCAGTGTCACGCTATTACCTGAGGAGGTAGACCCGTAGAGCCCATACGGGTGCCCACGACGGCTTAATTGCGACGGAGCGTGTATCTCCTTGGGTGCGATTCATCATTGTGTATTCGTGTATCTTGTCTGTCCTCGGTACTATGCGAGTGCTACGTTGGAATCCTCCTTCTCTTTCTGACACAGACAGAGTGTCTCAGCTGCAGTATGATGTCGCTTTCGTGGTCTTGCTAATTGTTATTGGTACTCAATGGTTCGCGTTCAAGACTGCAGTCGTTGTGGTGGCCCTCACGAAATTCGAGACCAGGCAATTCGGATATGATCCAAGAGATAGTTTCACGCATTCACCTTGCGGTGTTTCGTCGATGATTAACGAGCAGACGCTTCGAGCGTGGGATGCAGTGGGCACACGGGACGCCCCAAAGGGTTTTCATGGTGGTAGGGGCGCTGTTCGTACTATTTCGTATTACGGAGACGCGACTGTCGGGGGCCGTTACCTTCCTTTACAAAGCACGGACTCTCGGGAGCGGCCGAAGCTCACTGCTACCATCCATCGTGTTCATGACTACGCACAACATGTACGAGCGGGTCTCCCGCGTCGTACTGTTCAGATCATGGTGACGTATACCAATGGCGTAGTGGGACTGGTGAGGGAGCAGTGCAGCGCATGCGAGATCACGTCTACGGCAGGTGGGAGTGCTGGGCGCAGTATGGAGCAACTTGCAGGATCTCTCATGCGCGAGATGACAGGATCACGGGGGTTGGCCATTGCGGACACTTTTTTACATGCGGCCCGAGCTAATTTGGACCAGTACCAGGTGGTGCAGATACTGTTCCACGGTGAGCCAGTCACGTGCCCAATAAGCAGTTGCTCACGCAGCAGATGTGCGCTGCGCGTCGGCCGCGGGCGTCGTGATGCGGCGTGTCGTGACCATGCGCCCTTTCTCTTTCAGCTGGACTTGCGCGCGTGCTTTCGGCGCGAAGTGCCGCGACGCGGGGGGCTCCGAGGGCTGCGAGAAGGAGGGCTACAATTGCGGCAAGCTAAATGCCAAGAAGTTGGTGGAGGGGACAGTGGCGCAGGCCAGAAGTCCACGAATCAGGTTGTGTCCTTTCCCGTTCATCAAGATCCAGACTGCGTTCAAGGGCGTCAGCGCGGAGTGATGACGCCGTGCTTCGACGAGCTCGCGCTGCTTGTCGTCTGTTGCGGGCAGCCTGGGGCGCAGCTGAAGGAGGGGGCTCCGCCCAAGGGCCACCCTGAGAGGATCCTCCAGCTGCCGATGACTACTATTGCATCGATGTGATGTATACGAGTATGTTGGCTGTGATGGTCCTTGGTGGACTGGGGAAGTTGGCGACAGCGAGGCGGTGCCTGATTGCATGTGGGAGCCACGGTCGTTGGTGACGTTTATGTCGTGCTGATCGCTGTATACTGAGTACTTCGTGAATTCGTGCAATATGCATGGCCTGCGCGCGTGCCCCGATGCCGTCCTGAACGGGGGGTACGAGGGCTACGCGCTGCGTCTACTACGGTTTCGCGTCTTGAGGCCCCGCGGCTGCCGCTGTCAGGCCGGCCCTCCTCCCTTGTCCTCCTCCTCCTCCTCCTCCTGTCCAGCGTGTGCGGATGTCAGTTGTCCAGTCGTTCCGTGATTCTGGCCTCAGGGAAAGTCTCTGGGGGCCGGCTGTTCTTTTTTGACTTCAGAGCGTGTTGTGTTTCGGTAGTTGTTTAGGGTTCTGATACCCTGGAAACTCAGGGCGGGCGGAGGCCCGAAATCCGGCAGCTATGTCGATCCTAGGGCGCCTTGTGTGTCACGGAGCGGAATCATGCCCCCATAGGAGCTTGATCTGATCCTCCTCCTCCTCCTCCTCCGCCTCCTCCCCCTCCTCCAGATCCTTTTCCTCCTCCTCCGCCTTGTTTACCTCGACCCTCTCCGCCCTCTCCCCCCCTCTCCTTCTCCTCCTCCTCATCCTCCTCCTCTTCCTCCTCCTCCTCCCCCTCCTCATCCTCCTCCTCCTTATTGACTCTGCTCAAGCTTGAGGCGGAAGCCTGGAGCGTTATGTGGGCGAAAACGCAGTGTACCGACTTAGCCAACGAGCACGTTAGCTAAGCTGGGCGGGCGCAGCCGAAAAAAGGTGAGGCAGGGAGACGCGAAACGAGCGCAGGGCCCGAGGGCAATAGAGTATGCGCTCGCCAGGCTGCATGGGGAAGGACCGGAACATGAACCTGCAACATAATGCGACGAGTGGGAAGGCGTTGAACGAGGGAGACCAGCTGCAGGTGGTCTGGCGCCAAGCTTGTGCGAATACAGTACCCCTCCCCGTCGATACCTGATACCGCCCCGCTACCTCCCGCAAGCAAAAGGATTGCAGGCATCGAATGTATAGGCTGACGCTGCAGGTCAGGTTGGCCTAAGGGTGCGAGTATCTTGAAGACTTTCAGTGCTCACGTGGAGGACAAGTCAGATTGTGGCACAACTAACAGGCGACGCAAGGAAGAGTGGCAACAGGAGGCGTGTGCAGACAATGTATCAGTTGGCTGGCGATCTCGTTTGTTGATGTTTCAGGAATTCGCTGACGTCCGTAGTCCGCAGAGAGACTCGTTTTGGGGATTCGTCTCCTACCGACGTGCCACACATGGCCGTGAGCATGGACTCTAGCGCAGGCCAGCCTATCTTGCATTTTATAAGAAAGGCTGTCGTCCTCCTCCTCATCCTGCTTCTCATCATTTTCATCATCACAATCACCATCGCCATCGCCATCATCATCATCACCACCATCATCAGCATCAGCATCATCATCACCATCACCATCAACAGCGTCATCATCAACATCATCATCATCAGCACCATCATCAGCATCAACAGAGTCAGCATCATCATCACCACCATCATCATCATCGTCATCATCATCAGCAGCAGCATCATCATCATCCTTCTCCTCCTCGTCTACATCCGCCCTCTCCTCCCCCTCCGATGATCCTGATCCTCAATTCCCTCCTCCTCCTCCTCCTTCTCCTTCTCGTCCTCCCTGCTCCTCCTCGTCCTCCTCTTTCCTGCCCCTCCATCCTCCTGCCCCCCCCCCTCTTGGGGAGGGGGGGGGTGCTGGCTCCCACGGCGTCGTGGGTTGTTCCGCGACGCTGGCCCCCAGAGCTTTCGACCCTCTCCCCGAGGCAGGCTCCACGCCGCGGGCCACTGCCCGTTGCCTCCTGCCCCGAATCGGGCCCGCGGAGTCGGAGGACTTGTTCGTCGGGGTGGGCCAGCCGAGGGCCAGTTGAGACAACGGCGGCGGGCCCAAAGCCGTTCCAAAAACCGGTGCCCCGACACCACCCGGGGTCCATCCTGACCCGTTCCCCGAGGCGGGTCCAGCAATGGCGACGAGAAGTTGCCGGGAGGCCCCAACAGAAAACGCTGGGCGCTAGGGAGGTGGCGAAGATGCTGCCAGGAGGCCCAAAAAAGACAATCAAAAACCAGGGCGGACCGCCATTGTCTCGACTGGCCCTCGTCCGACCATCGGGCGGGGCCAGGACAGGGATAAGTCCTTCCAGCGCGGTCCGGAACGCTCCCAGAGCGTCCTGGAACGCTCTGAAAATGGCGCGACGCTCGACACATCCTCCAGAACCGCTGGCGCCCAAAGATTCCTGACTTCTCCTTGTTCGATTTCGTCCTCATCCTGGCTTCGTGTTGTTTCGCGACGCCCAGACCTCAGCCGTGCCAGCCGTCCCAGGGTCGCGGCGCTCAGGGCCGCTGTCCTCCCGGGCCCGACCGCCGCACAGGGCCCGCGCGGAGCCTGCGCGGCTGGCATGGCGGACCCTGAGTCGCTGCCGCCATCGCCGACGTCGCCGACGCCGCCGCCGCCGCCGTCGTCGTCGTCGTCGTCTTCGTCGTCGTCTTTGTCGTCCTTGTCCTCGTCGTCCTCGTCCTCGTCCTCGCCGCCGTCGTCGTCGTCGCCGCCGTCGCCGCCGTCGTCGTCGTCGTTTCGTCGTCGTCGTCGTCGTCGTCGTCGTCGTCGTCGTCGTCGTCGTCGTGGTCGCCATGGTCGTCTCTCCCCTCGCGTCGTTTCAGTGCAGCGTGGAGCGTGCGCGTGCCGGGAGGCACATGCCTGGCGGAGGCACAAGGAAAAGGACGGTTCGCGGGTGGACCCTCCTTAGGTAGACTCTCCTCTCCCTCCCTCCCTCCCTCCCTCCCTCCCTTCTTTCCATCACCCTTCCCCTCTTTCTCCTCACGTCCTGGTCCCAGGCCTATCTCCGATCTGGGCAGGAGCGGTCGAGCCCTCCCCCTGCCCCCCCAGTGCGATTGCACGGCTCCTGTTAGCACCACACTGGACACTTGAGCTGGATTCGCACGGCCTCGCGTCCAGGCTGGCAGACGCGTGTGACCGCCGAGCTCCTCCGTCGTCGCTGCCCCATGCGCGATGGCGGTGTGTGTGGTGTGTGTGGTGTGTGTGTGTGGTGTATGTGTGTGTGTGTGTGTGCGTGCGTGCGTGCGTGCGAGCGTGCGTGCGTGCGTGCGTGCGTGCGTGCGTGCGTGCGTGCGTGCGTGCGTGCGTGCGTGCGTGCGCGCGCGCGCGGGCGCGCGGGCGTGCGTTCGTGCGTGCGTGCGTGCGTGCGTGCGTGCGTGCGTGCGTGCGTGCGTGCGTGCGTGCGTGCGTGCGTGCGTGCGTGCGTGCGTGCGTGCGTGCGTGCGTGCGTGCGTGCGTGCGTGCGTGCGTGCGTGCGTGCGTGTGTGTGTGTGTGTGTGTGTGTGTGTTTGTTTGTGTGTGTGTGTGTGTGTGTGTGTGTGTGTGTGTGTGTGTCCGTAGGCGTGCCTGCCCCCCCCCAGCTGCCGTGGTGCTGCCGCTGGACCCCCCCCCACCGGCACCGCTCCCTGCCGCCGCCTGGCCCCGCTGTGAGCAGGCCCGGTCTCCGTCTGCCCGCCAGCCGTCGCCAGGCAGGCCCCAATTGTTCGTCCAACATTTGCCCTTTCGCCAGCGCAGTCACTCTACCCAGCCGCCGACGCAAAAGTGTGCGTAGGCGCGTGCGCCGCGCGTGCGTGCGCCACCAGGGTGCTGCCTGCCATCCTGTTGCGTTGGACCACGGGCCCTCGGGGGTGGTTAGCATTCGCAATGGGTCGGACCTGCTCCGAGGGGCCCTCATCCACCACGCACGGTATCCATCCGCTGGGGAGGTGCCGCCAGTGTCGCAAGTCATGCAAGCACAGGGCAGAGACTCTCCTTGTGCGCCATGCACATGTGTTGTGCAATCCCGCAGCTGGCGAAAGGGCTGTACTCCTGCCCTGGCGCCGTGCACATTCTTGCTACAATCTTGCAACCGCTACAACAATGGAAAACAGGTGGTTTTGAATATGGGACTCTCGCAGCCGCGTCTCGCACATTCGTTCTACACGGTCGCTACCGCTCCAAGGATGGAGGGCCGATCCGCTCGAAATCTGCAGTGCCTCCCCAGCGCCGCGCACATTCGTTTTCAAAGGTTGCAGCATACACTACGATTTGGAACAGCTTCTGATAGGATATGCAAATACCAGGATGTTGATAACGTGCTGATGCTAGAATTTCCATATACTAGGATACGCATATACTAGGATTGGGGACAATGCCTATTAGGATATGCGTAGGCTGCAGCACATACAAGGATTGGCAACTACTAGTGCAAAGGTTGCTGCATATAGTAGGATATGGGGCTCTCGCAGGAGACCTCCTTCAGCTTGTTGAGCCTGATGTTGATTATATGTGGTAGCTGCACGGATGGATGGCGGCGCCATTTTTTTAGGTTTGGGACCTCCGCGAAGCCGATGGCCCGGAGCGTAGACAGGGACAATAGCCACACTGATGGTGACGGCCTTTTTTTTCAAAACGGGGATGTCGTTGGACACCTTATTGGGCAGTGCTACCATACACTTGTATGTTCAGTATTACCCGCTAGAAGTACGCACGGCGGTTCCTCTTTGAAACGGGGTCCTCGCCTGAATGGCAGGCGCAGAGTGTGTTGGTATTTGAATGGGCGTTTTTTGTAGTTGAAAGAATTGCCTGCAGGGGCTCATGAGGAGGGGATGTGGGACGGCGGGTTGTGTTGCAGCATCGTCGGCGCCTCGTGGATTCACTCTGGTGTTCATTCTCCTCATGATCATCACCCTATTCTTCCTTCAAGTTGTCATTGTAGTCCTGCTGCTCCTGCGCGCTTGAGCAGCACCCGCAGGATGGAGCCCACGGAAGGCCCAGCCCCCGCGGCAGCCGAAGGGCAGGGAGGAGGCGGGCTGCTGTTGCTGCTAAGACGTTGGTGCCCACTGGCGGTGGCATGGCTGCTGCTCGGTCTGGCCTACGCGGAGTTCTTCCACGCGTCCGACTGGGGCGGGTTGGGGGGCTGTCCACCTTCGGGCGCTGGTTGGGATGTCGCCTGACCTCCGTCTCATGCGCCATGTTTCCACGTGCCACATGAATCTTTTGTGGAGCCGACCCCTGCATGTGGGAACTGTATGACACTGCGGCCAGTATTCCGTCACCCAGATCTCCCGCCCAACGGTCGAGACAGCACGTCTCCCGAGGAACTTCAGCTGGGGAGGTATCGAGCGGGAGCGTTATGATTGTTAGGGGGGTAGTTTTCCGGCGTCGGTAGAATTTCGCCACACCTGAGCACAACGAAAGGACACAAAACAGCGGGAAACATAGTTTTGTTGGAGGGCCCATTTTCGGCGGCAAGCAAGTCAAGCGAAAGCGATGTTATTGCAGAATGGCTGGTGTGCGGTACCAAGACATGAGCACCAGTCCTAAATAGAGCACGGAAGTTTCGAGTGGGAACGCTGGCGTTGTTGGATGGCCAGGTTTCGGCGGCGGGCAAGAACGCCAATCCTGAGTAAAAGAGGTGGAGGTATCAAGTGGAAGCGTCGTTGTTGTAGAGGGGGGCCGCTTGCAGCGGAGAGCGCAGGTCCTGCGTAAAAAGTAAGTGAGTATTGAGCAGGAGCGCTGGATTCGTTGGAGTGCTAATTTTCGGCGGCGGGAAGCACCGTTCCTTAGTAAAAGTTGAAGAAGGATCGAGCGGGAGCGTTGGTGCTGTTGGGGTGCCAGTTTGGGAGCCCCCCAGATGCGCGTGAGCGAGAGCCTCGTGTTCAAAGCAAATACAGCCAGCGCCGAGGCGAGAGCGCCAGGGCGGATTGTTGGACTTGGGCTAGAACTCCCCACGCTCTCCGAAGCAAGGAGGTCGAAAAATTGAGGAAGGATTTCGGAGGATAACAAGGCTTGAGGGAGGGACAGAGACAGAGTAGGCAACAGAGGACAAAGCGGTGAGGGACAGCGACGACGACCGGAACAAAGTTGACGATGAGGATATGTAGGTGGAAGCGGACTTGAAGAAGGAGGACGGCGACGAGGCTGAACCACATGTGAGATCGAGGGTTGCGCGCTTCTTTGGCTTGGTATGTCCATAAAGTCGCCCTTGCGCAGGACGCTGCGACTCGTATCAGTTGAGTGACATATCATGATCGGCAGAACTCGGGATTGGGGAAAGCGACAGCCAAGACGCATCCACCAGGGACGAGGCGCAGCGTTTCCCCGCCGGCGGGGTGAGGCGAAGACATCATCGGCATTAACGCTAGGGATACGCGGCAGTCTTTTACGGACACCGCCGTGGACTTCTGGAACCCGCAGACCTGGTGGGCGGAGGGAGACAAGGCAGACCGCTCTGGAGGAGGGTCGTCCTCACTGCAGCAGCTTGCCAACCTCGGTGAGGATGTCGAAACGCCGTGACGGGCAGGGTGTCCCAATCGGAACAGCTTGTCTGTCTCATCGCTAGGGTCGACTACACGTAAGAGTGACCCTTCGCTGGAGTGACCTTTGGTGCGGGCCCATTGGGTTTCCCCGATCGTTGAATGCGATGCTATAGCAGCTGCCTTCGCGCTTGAGTGCTTGGGTTTGGCTCCCTCGCGCCGCCAGAAAGCCGCGCACCAATGGTCACTCTGGCCCAGGGTCTCTCCTTACTAGCAGCCGGTAGGGGCAGGGCGCGATGTTCCTTCTGTCCCAGATTATCGGAGGTCTTGGCGCGCGCGCAAGGTTGGAGCGAGCCTCTGTCTCCCTTGCTTCGGTTTGGCACCTCGCCTGGCTAAGCGAGCTCACGCAACAGCATACGCGAAGCAGCCTTGGCCCCAGCGAATCGCGCTCGAGGGGGAGGAGGGATAAGGAGGGAGGAGGAGGAGGAGGAGGAGGAGGAGGAGGAGGAGGAGGAGGGATGAGGAGGAGGAAGAGGAGAATGAGGAGGAGCGGCTCGGCAACGTCGACCCATCGTTGTCTTCGCGTCGTGCGGCCGGGGTGTCCTGGCGTCTCCACCGCCTTGTGCACGCTGCCCTGAGCTCCTCAGTCATGCCACTGATCGGACCCGAGATCGCGTTGCGCGTTGCCCAAGCGACTCGCCACGCCACCAGCTTCGCCCCAGGCAGCGTCGAGGTCCAGGCTCGGAAGCAGCGGGCAGCAGTACAGGCTAAGTACGGCCAGAGATCGCCCTCGGAGACAGGACTGAGAGCGGCGGTATGTTCCCTCACGCTTCCTCTCTTGTCTGCATGCCCCCCCGTATCTCGCCCCCTGCGCTCCTGCATCGCTTCTGTATCATCCTGCGTCGGAAATGCGCGCTCATTACATTCTCCAGACATGTGACGTCCTGGTGTTTGCAGTACGGAGTCCGCAGAAGTACCGACCTTTTCCCCAGGACTGCTTTGTTCATCCTGGGTCGTCGTTGTTCCGGTCCCCGGGCCCAGTGAGGGCCCCCAGAGGCTGGAAATAGCGAAAACCCTTCCGCCGCTAATTGTTCATGCCTCGAGGGCGTCTGGGGTACGCGCTCCCTGCATTCCCTCTCGGAAATTTCATTTCTCCCGCCCACCACGCTCCCTACTCTGGCAGCGTCGGCGCCTCCGCCCTCCTGCCCCAGAGGCGGCGCTGGACAGCGCGGACTTGGAGCCCGAGACCTGGCGAAGTCCCCCCGAGGATCGCGGGGGAAAAATGACCAGTCGCGGGAGAAGGATTTACATGTACACGAATCCACGTTGGTTCCGAGAGTACGCATTCACGTACGTGGTTGGGCGCCTACGTTTTTTGTGAGCTCGCTAAAGGAATGATGGTGGTGATGTTATAATAACGGTAATGGTGCCATTGGTCATCATTATCATAATCAACATCATCACCACCATCCGGCATCATGGTCATCATCACCATCATCACCATCATCAACAGCATCAGCATAATTATCATTATCATCATCAACATCATCAACATCACCAGAGGCATCATCTTAACCATCATCACAAGAGTAATCATGATACGAATAATCATCGTATTCGTCGTCGGTATTGTCATCATCATCGCCGTCGTCGTCATCGTCAGTTTTAGCATCATCATCATCATCACCTTCGTCATCAGCATCACCATCGCCATCTCCATCATCATCACCATCCTCATCGTTATAATCATCATCAACATCAGCATCATCAGCATCATCAGCAGCAGCAGCATCATCTTCGTCGTCGTCGCCGTCGTAATCGTCTCGTCATTGTCATCGCCGTAAGAGTCCTCGTCATCGTCATCATCATACTCAGAATCTTCATCGTTAGCATCATGGCCACCACCCATTACTTGGAACCGAGAGCATTTGATGTTGTTCGTCGGTCCGCGTTGCCAGCATCCCGCGTCGACAACAGCAGCGTGGTCTGGTATACCCCAGCTGGTTTTGTGATGGTCTGGTTGGCTCATTGCGACAATCGCGGCTTGGGGCCAGGTCGCAACTTGCTGCGCCGAAGAGCCTTGCGCACATCGGCCTCGCGCCAAACTTACGAGCGCACTCGCCCTGGCTCCCAAGTCCCGGGCCTCGAACATTAGAAGCAGGAGAAGGAGGAGGGAGAGATGAAGGAGGAGGGAGAGGATGTGGAGGAGGAGGAGGAGGACCAGTGTAAACCCAAGAGACATCAACGATGCTGGCATAAACTCTCCCTCCAAGCTTCCTCTTCATGGGCCCCTAGAAGGGTTCATTTCCACTGAGGGAACTGCCGCGTTTGAAGACAACCGTTTAAAGACCCTGAAGCATCTCAAAACATTAGGGTTCATTTCCACTGAGGGAACTGCCTCGTTTGAAGACAACCGTTTAAAGACCCTGAAGCATGTCAAAACATTATTCTCGGGATTCCAACGCCACGGATCAACCTGACTGTTGCGTTTTGACGGTCCTGAGCCGTGCCAGAACGCCATCCCTGGGACTTGAACACTGCGAATCAGCGTAACTGATCCTGAATCTTTCCAGAATGCCATGACTGTTATGCTTACCATTAGAATCCGTGAAACCCTTGCAACTTTTACAAGGGAGCGTGCGCGGCGCGGAGGAGGAGGAAGACGAGGAGAAGAAGGGATGATCACGAGGGAGGAGGAGGAGGAGACGGAGGATGAGGAGGAGGAGGACAAAGAGGAGGAGGAGGAGGAATACAGTCAACCCGCATAATAAGGATTGGGCAACCTTCCCAAGGGTACCCTTGCATCCTTGCCTCCTCGGTCCATCCTTAGCCACTTTCGTTGGCCGCGCCCCTGTCGGGAAGCTTCGAAATTGGTGTGCAAGGCCCTTGCATCCTTATCGCGCATCCTTCTTATACGGGTTGACTGTAGGAGGAGACAAAGGGCATCGCGATGCCCTCACGAAGACCTGCCTTGGGCCGTGGGAGCATCCGGGGGTCGTTTTCGCCCTCGGGCCGTCTTCGGGGCCGCTCTGGGGCGCTGCTGGACTGTCTTATGGGGCCACCTCGTGGGGGCGCTGGGGAGCAGGGGAGGCCGTCTCGGGGCCATGCCTGAAACCCTCCTGAGAAATGGAGCCTCCGCGGGGCTTCCTGTGGGGTGCAGCGCGGGAGCATCCTCTGGTCTGCCCAGGGCCGTCGAGCCGTCCCGTGAGGTCGCGGTGGGGTCCAGGAGGATCCCGGGACCGTCTTGGGTCCAGAGGGGCAGCCGGAGCGTGGCTGCACCTCGCGGCCCGGACCACTGGACTCGCGAGGGGAGATTACAAAGTGCTCCCCACTCCGGAGGGCTCTTGCCCCCCTCAGGGAACGTCAGGAGTTTGACTGGGGTGGGGCATGGATGTCGCACCACCCGGGATTCGCAGAGGTGTCAGCGAGCTTGTCCCACAGATGGTTGCCTCGGATGTTAGCCGCCTCCACCCTGGGAAAGCCCTCGACTAGGCACGGCTGGCGGAACGAACCTGGGGAAGTTAATATGCCCCATGCAAACTCGATCGACTGGAAACCAGCTCGACCCATGAGCGCCGCAGAAGCTGGTGTGATTGCAGGAGGAGGGATGGAGGAGGATCATCGTGTTAATATGTAGGGACCAAGCACCCAAGCGAATTGGAACCACTACATGGTAAACCAGACTTGAACACACATCGGCGCCCCTTGTTCTGACAAGAGCGTGCTGCAGAACCACATGCGGTGTAATATTCATCCTCGCAGTGCCAGGCCATCACCCTGTCTGACAATTGGCTGTTGCTTTCCGGAGACCTAGTTGGCCTAAATTTTGACCAACCACGATTGCGGAGTTGGAGCTCCCAACAAGTATTTGAAGAAGCTGTCTAGCCGACGCACGTCATCATGACCACCATCGCGCGAGGAAATGGGTCTCCCACTTGTGCACCCTGACACTGCTTACGGGGAATGCAGTCCAGAATTTTTCAATAGCGTGTCGTTCCGCCAGTTCTGGCCCACCGCGCCTCGGTGCGACGCGCTATCCACTTCGATGGCCTTAAGCATCAACGTCGCTAGCCTTTCCGAGCCTCCCGCCCCTAAACACGTAGCGACACGCTATCCGTTTGCAGGGCATAGCGTATCGCCTGGGCCGCCGTGGCGACACGCTAGGCAAAAGTTTCAAACCGTATGCCCCAAATTGTTCGTGAGTTCAGGGGGCCTTACTAGTTTGGGAAGGCATTGATCTTGGTTGTTGCGGTTCCAGGTCTCCGCCCATTGGTTTTCGGGTCACGTTGGCCCTTGTTGTTGCCAAGTTTAGTCGCCGGTCTTGGGGTCCCCGGTCCTCGGTCCCGCTGGCCCTGGTCGTTGCGATGTCCCATCTTCGCCCAATGGGTCATGTTGCCTGTTGGCCTTCTCTGTTGCGATGTCAGGTCGCTAGGGTCGTGGGTCCCCCTGGCCCTGGTGGTTGCGATTTCTGGTCGCCGCCCATCGGTCCTGGCCTGACTTGCCATGCCTGTTGCGATTTCTGGTCGTCGCCCATATTATATCATTGGCCTTGTTGGTCCTGACTGTTATGATTTCTGGCCTCAGCCCAAACAGGGTCTTGGGTCCCCATGGCCTTTGCTGTTGCGATTTCGGGCCTCCGCCCCGAAGAGCCCTAGATCTCCCTAGATCTCCCTGGCCTCCGTTGTTGCGCTTTCTGGTCGCCGCCCATAGCGCCCCCGACTCCGCTAGCCTTGGTTGCATAGTTTTCGGTCGCCGCTCACAGGGCCCCAGGTCCTGCTGGAGTTGCCTGTGCCGATTCCTGGCCGCGCCCGTAGAGTCCCGGGTCCCGCTTGCCCTCGTTGCCGGTTTCGCAGAGTTTCTTGTTGGGGGTCCACGTTGGCAACCACTGCCCGGAAGCTCCCGATTCCGGACTGGTATTTCTTGGAGGTCGTGCGTTTTGGGCTTCCAGCCCCGTGCATATTGCTGTGGTCGGCCTCAGTTAACGTGCTGGCTGCTTGGCATACAGCTTTCCCGGGCTATGAGCTGGCCTCCCAAATCGGCGCAGGACGGCAGTGCGCTCCGCGGCGGCGCCGCGCCCGCGGCAGCACCACCCAGGGCTGCGGTGGAGGCCCGGCAAGGGCGCCCAGGGCGCGAGTCTCGTCCAACAACTTGCGATGGCAACAGGCCGAGATCACACGCCCCATACCTGAGGGCGTGTCTGGGGCCCTCAGCCGCCATTGGGATCCATCGGGCGAAGGGAAGTATGCACAAGCAACGGTCTTGGCCAGGCACACCCTGGGCCTTCGGTGCATAGTTTCGCCTTCCTGGCCAGGGTAGGAGGGCCCCTTCACCAATCCTGGGCTTAATTAGGATGGGGCCTGGCCAGAATCGCTATATGTGCATACGCACTGTTCACTTCTAAGTCTTCGAAAGTTCTTTGACTTTGGGGGGGGCCAAGATTCTTTCATTTCTAATTGTTCTATAATGGGCCTCTTCCTACAATTAGAAACGAGCACAATTAGAAACGAGCACGATTAGGAATGAACGACGTGTAGTACACTTCTCTCTATATTTGACGTGTCTGGGGCTGTCAGCCGCCATCGGGATCCAGGTATGTCTAGATGCATGGAGCATCGGCCAGGACGCATATCTCCCCGACGTGAGAGTGGCTCAGCTCCTCGACACGGGTTGTTCTTGCGTCGCGTAGACTCGCATCTCTTCATCACGTCGGTCGCACGCCCTTTAGTGGGCCCTGGAAACGACAGGGCCGTTTTTTTACCGGTTCCGTTTTGCCGTTTTTTTTGCCGGTTCCGACGCCGTTTTTTTTACGGTTCCGTCGCCGTTTTTTGACCGGTTCCGGCTCCGGTTCCAATCCTGGAGCAGTTTTTTTGCCGTTTCCGGTCGCCGTTTTTTTTGCTGTTTCCATTTCCAAGGGACATTTTTGGGGGAAACGATGAAAAAATGGCCCTGCCGTTTCCGGGGCCCACAAAGCGCACGCCCATTGTCATGAAGCCGCGCCGGTGTCCCTGAACGGGTGGGTGAGTATGAGGAGCAGGAGGTCTTGATGATGGTGAAGATGTGGATTGATGATGATGGTGATGTTGATGATAATGATGATGATGATGATGATGATGATGATGATGATGATGATGATGATGATGATGTTGATGCTGATGATGATGATGATGATGATGATGATGATGATGATGATGACGATATTGATGCCGATGATGATGATGCTAATGGTGATGGTGATGATGATGATGCCGGTGAGGGTGATGGTGATGGTGATGATGATGGTGGTGATGTTGATGTTGCTGATGATGATAATGATACTGATGATGATGATGATGATGATGATGATGATGATGATGATGATGCAGATGATGATGATGATGATGATGATGATGATGATGATGATGATGATGATGATGTTGATGATGATGATGATGATGATCCGTTCTAAGATTTCCAGGATTTCTCGGATTCCTTCCAAGTTTACGAAGTGCAGAAACGAGGGCCGCTAGACATCTTGCACATCCTGGAACGCATCCTGAACAAATGTTATCATGGCATCGAGCCGGGTCATAAGAAGGTTATTCGGCCAATGATTTGCTCTGTCGCGCGTGGCAGCCCCAGGAGAGCCATCATCTCTCTGGTTAGCAGGGCCGAGTGAGACACAACGCTCCGATAAGCATATCATGGCTTGGAATAATCAAGGAACCAGTTTGAGAAGTGGAGTGTTCGGTCAGCGGAACATTACATGAGGTGTTGGTGGAGTTCGACAAGGGGATTTGTCCGTACCAACGGTCAGCGGAGTACGTGCAAGTGTACTGTTTCCAGCCAGGCTCGGTTTCCACTCCAGCCCCGTGCGAAGCTGATTCCATTCCGGTCAATGGTTTCTCTTCAGTTATGGGGGGTTATTGCTATTACTGTGATGCCTCCGCCTCCTTCCCTCACTCTGGCCTGTTTCCTCCCCCCTTCCCTTCAGACCCACTCTCGCTCAGCTGCACTCTGGCTCACATCCATTCGAATTAAGACCCACTCATACTCAGACCTGCTCACGGTCAGACTCACAACGTTTCATGTTCATTCACACTCAGACTCCATCATACACGTAGTCGTAGCAAGTCACAAACATATGTGTTCATACCCGCTCATACTCAGACTCAGTCGTAGGCCGATTCGCTCACACTCAGAGTCACCCGTCCAGATTCGCTCACGCTCAGACCCACTGACACTCCTACGCACTCATGCTCGGAGTCACTGATGCCACTCATCCCACTCGGACCTCGCAAATGGGGGTGGAGCCAGGGTATTCAGACAGGCGCGTTCGCGCCCAGATTGATGGGGCCTCTTAGGTAGGCGCCTGTGCTGGGGGGCTAATGTGTGCATCCTCATGGCCACATGTTCACCGCGATGTAGCAGGCATCGCACTTGGGCTTCAAAAAGGAGAGCCGACCCGGGTGTCATCACGGGCACGTTGGGACACGGGTTTGCGGGCCATCACGTAGCCGGCTTGGGAGGTAGCCGGCTCGGAGCCCCATGATCACTGCGATGAAGCAGGCATGGCTCGCAACACAGGGGGGCTGGTCAGGATGTCACCACCCACCAAACCACCCCAACCCAACCCGAAGGCTCAGATTTACCCTCGATTTCCAGTGGGGGGGGTGTCGTGAAACGTCGAAAAAACACATGTGGAACCCTTACCCCCCCCAACCCGAAATTCGGGTCTTCGGGTTGGGTTGGGGTGGTCTGGTAGGTAGTGAGCATGGCTCGCAACACGGGGGGGCTGGTCAGGATGTTATCACAGGCGCTCCTCCACCGCGTGCCGCTACACGCCGCACCCCGACGGCGTTGGCCACCGCCACCTGCGGGCAGGACCTGGTTCGCGCTCCAGGGCCAGGCCAGCCGTGCGCACCTGCAACACGAGGCGGCTGCCGGTGATGCGCTCGCGCACGCGACGTGATAGGATGTGGTTCTGGACGCCCGAGATGGGTATTGAAAGAATGGGTACTATGCCCAACAGCAGTTCCTGTTCAATTTGGACAGGATTCGCTGTCCACGCCGCCGCGGCTTGTGTCCATTCGAGACAGGAGGCCGCCCGCCCAACAGCGGCCGCTGTTGGCTTGGGACAACATTTGTTGTTGGGCATAGTGCCCATTTTTTCGGTACCCATGTCGGGCGTCCAAAGTGGTGGAGCGGAGACTCACTGCTTGGCGGCGCGACGACGACGACGACGACGCCACCGACGCCCTGGCGAATGCTGGGGCGGATGCCAAATTGCTGAAAATGACCGCGCCATCCTCTTCGGTTGCATCCACCTCACGCGCCACCTTACCCCAAGTCCTGGGCGCATGGAGGCTGCGAAGACTGAAGACGTCACGTGCGACCATCAAGGTCTTCAGGCCCTCCGCACGATTGAGCTCAAGGTGGTGAGTGGCGGGCCGGGTCTGAGATTGAGGTCGGGGGGGCGTGGGCAGAATTGCACACCCGCGCGGCCTCGACCCCAGGGGCGAGCACAGGCGAAGTAGATCAACAGAGCTTGGAGCCCGAGGCGCGCAGTAGCAGGGCCCCTCCAGATGCGAGGGTACAGCCTCTTTGCTGGGCCATGGGCTCTGAGCGCCATGTCCGCCTACGTAGGGCTGGCCAGCCCCTGTCGCGGGCGACGAATTCGAGTACCCGCGTCAGCCGTGGGATGCATCCTCGTGGGGCCTGGGACGCGACCATCGACGAGGCATGCAGCCCGTCGGAGGCTGCGCGGGAGCCCTGGGCCCTGGGCCAACCACTTCGGTTTTGACGTGGGCGCAAGGGGTCGACGCAGGGTCCACCCGTGCTGCCCGCAACGCCGAGCCGCCGCATGGCCCTCTGGAACGTTGGGGCGCGCCGCGCCCCAGGGTGGCACTGCGGGACGCCCTGATGGCGTTCGGACTTCGCACGCGCGGCTAGACCGATGAGCTCGGCCGCGAGGCACCTTCGGCTGGCCGCAGAGCGGGCCATCCCGCTGGCCGCCGAGCGGGCCTTCGTAGCGGAGGGTATGTGGGCCTCCTTCCTCTCCTCTCCTACTTCCTCCTCCTCCTCCTCCTCCTCCCTCCTCCTCCTCCTCCTCCACCTCCTCCTCCTCCTCCTCCTCCTCCTCCTCCTCCTCCTGCACCGAAGAGAGTGAAGCGCCCGATGTCGATTTCGCTGGTAAGCGGGTTGGCCTTGTCGGGTACGGTCGCAATTTGTTGGACGGACACGGAGGCACGCCAGGTTTGCAGCGCTCTTTCGAGGAAGCTGAGATCGATGATGGGTGGAACTTCCAGCCTATACAATGAGCACGTGGAGATGATGACCACACGAGAAGTATATCGTCACTAGAACTTAGCCCCGCCGCCCTGCCAGCTACAGTTCAACGTCTACGAGCTTGGCAAGAGATTGCACGTCACCCTCGTAACCACGCCGGCATGTTGGCGTTCTTCTTTAGAGAGATGAAGGGGGAGACGACGAGTGAGTACCGCTGCCCGCCTACTCTTCTGGCCTCTGGGCAGCTGAATTCAGATGCTGTAGTTTTCCCTTGGAAGCGTCAGCTGCGACGAGACCTCGAAGTCCTCTGCGGTTGCCCTGAGGCGGAATCCCTTTCGCTGACATGGGAGAGCTGCTCGATGAAGGACTTGTTGCGGGACGAGGAGGTGAACGGCCTCTTTGTCTCCCTTGACCCGAGGTGGCCTGCAGAGCGCCTTCTCGGCTGTCCAGTGGGCCCCGCCTGTCGAGCTGGCGAACTCGGTACCCACAGCCTTGGACGGTGAAGACCGTTGGGAGGATCCTGAGGCACGAAAGTAAACTTGTCAGATCCGAAGAGATCCTGAGGGCCCCATATGTGGCTCCAAGTTCAAGACACGTGCAGCACTCGTAGCACATGTATGCCAATCACGACGAGCAGCGCACGGAGGAGAGAATAGATTCCACACGCTCACACCTAGCAACGCATGTATAAACTGTGGCACGACGTTCCAGACGAAGACGGAGAAAGCACGACATCTAGCACGATCATGGCACGCAGGACGATGTATTATGCACAACACGGCGTACACCTACGAGTTTCGGGGACCGTATTATCGAGATTGTGCGTTTTGTTGCCAGAGTTTTACCTCATACGAGCTGCTCCGCAGCCATGTTTGCTCACACCTGCCGCCGACGCTGGAAGGGCGTGCCGTATCGATGGTCATGCCTCGGCCTGTGCCATTTGCACAGCGACCACGGCGCCGCCATGCCCAGCCGCCTCCTGCTGCCCGTCTCCGAGGCGCGGACGCTCGCTCGACGGAGGGCCTCTTCGTACCACGTGCTGCAACCCTCTCTCTAGTTATGGCCAGGACGTGGGTGGCGGCAGCATCGCCGGCGGGGGCGGGGAAGGAGTTCGAGAAGAAAGGCAGATGGCGGCCCCAGGGCTTACCGGGCAGCTCGCGACCGACGCCAAAAGCACCAGCCGCACGAGCCAGAGGGCCGAGACGGGTGCTCGACTAGCTCGCGGCCCAGCGGGAGGAGAGGGGTCGGCGCAGAGGCCGAGGACGCGACGCGGAGGTCTACGTCGCGCCGAGGCCACGGAGCGGAAGATCACGACCAGGGACACCGGCCTCAAGGAGCTCCGCTTCCACCTCTCGGCGCTTGCATCGCAACCGGCGCAGCGCCCGCGCGCGATGCGGGGGATCACCGCGCCGCGCGCACAGTCTTGCCAGAGGAGGAGTCGCCCGCGGCCAAGGCGACGCAGAGCGAGGGCCAGGACTTCTCGACGGCGGCGAACAACATGCGCACGGAGGTCAGCAAGCTAAAGGAGAAGGCCAAGGCGGCGAAGGACACGGACGCCGCCACCTCCAGGATGCAAGACGCCGAGGCCGAGAAGATCATGAACGACCTCCGCGGGTTCGGCCCCCAGCGCCCGCGGTCTTCTGCGCGATGACCGAGGCGCTGGCCATAGAGGAGATCAGGAGGAACAACCGAGAGTGCATGGAGGCGTTCCTGGCCGAGATGGAGAGCCCCCGACGTTCGCGCGCCGCTGCCGCTTTGCAAGGGGCGCATGCAAGAAGACGCGCTGAAGGTGGTGTTCACTCTCGACAGGACGGACGCAGAGGTGAAGATCATGGAGAGCTTCCGCGCGATGGGCGCCACGGCCACTCTAGGAGCAGCCCCCTCGGGCTACCTAGGGGACGAGGTCTCGGCCTGGATCGATTTGGTGAGGGGGCGACGGCGGCCGACGGCGGCGACGGCGGAAGCAGATTTGCCAGTCTCCTGACCAGAAGTGGAGGACGAGGAGGATGTCGTCACCGAGGGCTGGCTTCTGGACTGAAGTTCGGCTTCGGCGCGCGGGCACCGCGCTGCAGCCATGAGTATGGCTGCGCGGCCTTGCGCGCCCGGCGAAAGATCCGCCCTAGGGCGCGGGCGGTGGACGCAGCAGTAGTTTGACCCCGCGCCTCTTCGCCTCCCTCGTCGCGCCTCGTCGGTCGCGGCCCTCGGCCCTCGCTCAGCCCACCGTTTTGTCGGTCCCTTGTTCGGCCCTCTCGGCCTGCTCGCTCCCTCGGCTACTCGACGCGAGCGGTAGACTGCAAATATCGTAATTCATCGAGAGCGGCAGTAGTCAGTCGATTCAACGTCCCACAACCGTGAGCAAGCAAGCAAGCTCCTCGTCCTCCTCATTTTCCTTATTCTCCCTCTCCTCCTCCTCCCCCTCCATTGTGTCCTCCTCCTCATCCTCATCCCCCTTGTCCTAGGCATCCAGGGCAACCGGAAAGGGTCCAACTCCGTTCAGCGAAAAAGTCTGGACTGAAAGAAGAAAGACGCTAAGGCCCTGCCCTTTTAGAGTCCTCCCCTGCACCGTCATTGCCATCTCGCCGAGGGGGGGCTGTCGCAAGCGGCAGAGCTGGGCCAAGCTTGAGCCCGGCCATGGGGAGGCGCCTTGACAAGAGCTGGCGGAGCTCCTTATACACTGGTTTCGACTGGCAACGCTTGGCGGGACGGAGCGCCTTCTGGGTGGCTAGCGCCCCGCACCAAACGCAAGACACATCTGGGAGCCACCGGGGAATGGCCCAGGCAACATGCACGTTGTGCATTTTCTTGTCGGGGGCAGACAGGACCCTGAGCAAAGAAGCGTTCAAACGCCCACTGCAGTCAAAACGCGTGTTATTGTTATGTTTCAAGTAAACAGAGTCCACAACCCCAGCGGTCCCCCGCCCGAAAAGGAGCGCGCGGGCCCATTGGTCCACGCGCGCCCTTGGCGCCCGCGCTCCCCTTGGTGAGCCCCCCGAAGATCTCCCCTGGAGTGGGCCTCTCAGCAAGAACCAAGGGCATGGAAAACACAGTTTGTAGTATCGAGAAGCAGCGCGAATAATCTCATCAGCCACCACAGGAGGGAATGCATGAAGCAACGCGCGTTGGCCAGCCAGCCGTCCAGCGCACTTGTTGCCTCGGATGGCCTGCAGGTTCTCAGGGCTCTCTGCATAGTCCTCCTTTCTGTGGGCCTTAATCTTCTTGGTATTCAACCAACCTCTTGGGATGCCAACCGCAATGTGACTAAAGGAATCGGGAAACCCAGAAACGACCACACGCACGCACACGCACACACACACAC